GGGTAGTAGGTCGTTGACTATAGATAGTATTATTAGCATGAGGAGAAGAGGCGCGGAATAGAAGAGTTGTGAACGGACCTTTGGTCTCTGCATCTTTGATGCGTCGAGCGTTTGCGGGATCATTCGAAGTATCAGTATCAATGTCGACCTGGAATACCGGTACAGGGATGGCATGGGTGACTATTGTGACAAGATTAGATTCATGGGTTCTTGTGCGAGATGGAGGATACGTACACTGTACCACAAGAAGTAAAAAAACGAAAGAGATGTGCATTATAGAGAAAAATAAAGGGTGCCAGCACCTAGAGGTATAATTAGGATATGCTGTTGCCAAGTATGGGAATACGTACAAATGAAGGAATGAAAAAGGTCTGGCGGTGAAGAAGAAAAAGTCGACCAGTCGACGAAGAGATTTGAGGGCAAAAAAGTGCTCTGAGAGGTCAAAGATTGGTATCGTTGGTGGTTTTATGGTGACTTACAGGACATCGCATCCAGATAGGTTGACGGGTTTTCACACTCGCGCGCCCTCGCTTGAAGGGCGCCAGGGCGGCTACGGTATAACCTCCCGTCAAATCTCATACCGTTCGAAATAGCTTTGGGTCCATTTTGCATGACCCAAGTCGCCAAATAAGCCATCTTTCACCAGTAGCCGCACCAGTTCGAGATGTTGAAACTTGTCAACCGTCGTGTTATATCATCGTTCGAGATTTAACGAACAGTATTAATTATATCGGATTTTTGGAGAATGCCAAAGGCCAGTTATTGTGTTAGTCGTGGTGGGGGCGCGCCCAACCATGCATGATAGCTGTGCTAACGTGTCCCTAGGATGTCCCCACGCTGCATCAAGCAGCCAGGTATCATGAATAAAGGCGCAGTTCATGGATCTGTAGAGTCAAAAGATGAGGGTCCCTGAGACACTCACTGGCCCTAGTCTGAACCCATGCATTGTGAGCATATACAGCCATGCTAGGCGCCATCCGCACGGGGAATCCTGACCGTCATGTTGATTTGCCATTACGTTACAAGAATAGATTGTGGACAAGTCCCGCGCTGTGATCTTCTCACTGTCAGACGGAACACGGCATATCGTGAAATTGTGATTACAAGTTTACCTTTCGGGAATATATCAAAAGTATCATACTGTAAAATATTCTCACACAGTGATCAGAAATAAAAAAAAAGGAGACAGGAGTATAGTAGGGGACAAGAAGCACGCTATAATAGCAGTACAGATTTAAGCCTTTCTTGTGCCCTTGAAAGATATGTCTCACAGGTAAAGAATCCTTTTTACTTTCGTTTTGATACCAGTTTGTCTGAAAGCTCCGGCCCAAGCGTCCCCAAGCGGCTTGCGCACCAACTTGGGCTACCATCGGTCCCCCTTGTCCTCGTTTCATTTCCAGAACCTTCCCTGATTTAGAATATTACCATGTACCCGGTGGACTTGTTAATAGGATTCTATGCCCTTTTAACCATCTCGCCTCGTCGTTCATCAGATCTCCAGGAGCGTTCGCTCCCATTCGTATAAACCCCACAATATATTAGCATGAATATTCAATCCCATTATAGGCCCTTGACTATATCTTCTTCCTACACGAAGGTTGATCTGGCCAATGACACTGCCACCACTCCGCCAAAAAAGGCAAGTCGGAGATCCGATGCGTGGCGTGCATGCAACTCTCATCTTTCTGCTACTTTTGACGCTCAATTAAATACGAAAAAAGTCTCTACTTTATTGGTTGTTCGAACAAGGCATCTAAATACAAAAGCGCAAGCGGTTCTTCGATTGTTTCTAGCCAGGCGGTCCGCCTTTGGGGTCAAGAAATACAGTAGCTTCAATTATTGAGGAATCACACTGTCTAATATCAAGATAAGGTTAAGTATGGCTTCAAATCTGATGCCTTTTCGATAGAAGTAAGTCGGAGCAACTGGCAAGTGTTGGATAGACGCACTTATCCCTTCGACTTCCAGGACAAAATCTTCTTTGCGAGAGCCGACTTCCTATCACCACCTCTAAATGCGTGGTAAAGAAACACTCTTGCAATGGAATAAGGGAGGTCTAAAAAGGAGCGGATTCGGTACGTGCAAAAGTTGGAAACATTTCGATCGACCAGCTTGGGAGTGCATGGACTGTGTTTGGTGAACTTGGACCAAGAATCGTCATTCGGCCTAATTTTAAAGTCGCCGCATCGAATGCAAATGACCGCCTTCACTTGGGAAGTTTCTTCAAAGACGTTGAGGACGTTCTTGATAAAACGGTCGCTCCAATAGTCGGCCTTTTTCTGATCATACTTTTCTCTCGCATCCTCTGGAATGATTTTGCCCGCATTCTCCGCTACCTCAAGAGGGTCTACTCCACGACACTCTGACTTTAGGGCAACATCCCAGGCCATAAGGAGACGCAAGTGGGGATCGGTAGAACCATCAGTCTTGTAATAGATGAGACCGTGGATGCGTTTGGGTTCGAATGAAAAGGGAATAGTAGGATCGATTGTTCCTTGTCCGTCCACCAACAGCCTGCGGGCCAACCTTGCGGTATAGCCGAGCTCGTCGAGGGCAGCGTCCCTGGCATCATCCGACAATTCGGGGTGATCAAAGATGTCGTGAATGTGGGCGATCCATTCATAGTTGCGGCAGGTAGTGATGGAGATCGCTATCTCCTTAGACTCGACTGGGCAGTGGTGCGTTGCATTTCTATCTTTTCC